GTGGGTCTGTTTTTATTTCTAAATTTTGGTCCGAGCTCACTCGACTCCTGCGAATCGACGCGAGGACGTCTACGGCGTACCACCCGCAGACTGACGGTCTGACGGAACGTACAAACCAAACCCTCGAGACGTACTTACGTGCCTATTGCTCTTACCAGCAGGACGACTGGGTTGATTATCTCCCAGTCGCCGAGTTCGCTTTTAATAATCTAGAGAACTCTTCGACTCGACAAACACCGTTCTTCGCCAACCTCGGCTACGATCCGGCTTTCACCCCCCGACTCACCGAACGTTCGACTGTCCCTGCGGCCGAAGATCTGTCTCGCCGCCTCGAGCATATCCATGCCGAGCTCAAGGCCGAACTCAAGCGTGCCCAAGACCTTCAAGCCAAGTACTATGACAAGAAAGTCCTCCCCGCGCCTGAGCTCAAACCCGGCCAGCTTGTCTGGTTGCTCCGACGCAATATCAAGACTACTCGACCATCCCTGAAGCTAGATCACCGCCGACTCGGCCCCTACCCCGTCGTTCGCAAGATTGGCTCTTCAGCCTACCTTCTCAAGTTACCATCATATCTTTCTCGACTCCATCCTGTTTTCCATGTTTCCCTTCTCGAACCCTATCACAATCCCCTCTCCACCGCTTCCAGCGTTGCTCCCCAGCCCTTCGAGCTCGCTGACGAAGATTCCATTCAGATTCATTCTATTTTAGATTGCAGAAAGATTGGCCGCCGCTACGAATATTTCGTGCGGTGGAAGTCCTTGCCCGAGTCCGAGAATTCGTGGGTCCCCTTGTCCGACATCCCGTCAACCTGCGATGAACTTCTCGAGCGATTCCACCGGCATCATCCTCGCGCTCCACGCCCCCATGCAACAGTATTTTCTAAATCTTATAATCTATCTACCGAATCCGCTGCCGTTGACCTGCCGCTTCCTCCCTCTGCCCAGATGCCCTCCTCCAAGCCCTCCGCGTCCTCCGTGCCCGCTGCCTCCGCATCCTCCGAGCCCATGCCCTCCGCTGCCGTGCCCTCCGCTGCCCCGCGCTCTCCTTCGCCGCTGGTCGTACGTCAGAATCCCCGCGCTGAGTACGTACCGCCGACGCAGACCACGACACGCACCGGTCGTGTGTCTCGTCCTGCGGCGAGGTTGGATCCTCCCTTGCGTGCTCCCCGCTCGCGCCGCCGTCCGCCTTAAAAGGGGGATAATGTGACGGTTAAGGCCGTCACAGCCACTTCCTATGTTTCAACGGACTATTTCCTATTTTGTCTTATGTTTATCTTAACGGTCACTCTTAGATAGACAACGGACTCTGGCTCTAGAATGCAGTGCAAGCATGTATTCGGCCGACGGCCCTCGCGGATGACATCGTATCTACCATGTACCTTTCGGCTTCCGTTTCCGGTATCTGACAGTTAGGAGTAGTCAAACGGTCACTTATACCGGTAGCTCCCTGTACTCTCCCCTTTTCCCCGTCGAATCAACGCCAGTACGGTCTCAGCGTCTACTCGTCTTCCGTTCTACGTCTGTGCTTCGGTTTCGGTCGCCTTGACCGTTACATTGATGGATACATATTTCTTCAAATTTGCCGATGTACTAGTATAGAAAGCACAAGACACTTTGACAGGCTACAGACTCTACATGATACAATATACAACTGCAAATTCAAGACTACCAGCAATCCTTGCACCATTCAACGAGGACTGTTAGAAAAAGTCTCGCATCGCCGGTTTTCAGACACACTGCGTCGTTTGTCCGAATCAGGCAAGTGGTCTACAGCTCGCGTCCTCAGATTTTGCTTGATGCATTTATCAAAGGTATAGCGTATGTCCTACCACTACAACAAGTATGTAGACCTGTGCTAGAATGCTACTCAACGGTACAGAAAAAGATTCAGATTTTAATACAGCTCTGGGAAATCGCAAATAGAAAGTGCACGCAAACCGTGCAAGAAAGTGAAAATCGGGACCCCGTAAACTTGGAAAGGGACAACGACAATAGGGTTGACGTCGTCGGTAATACCCGCGTTGGCCCCTTGGATGGTGCCCGACGACATCACCTTTCAACGTATTGAGCACCCTTCGGGTATGTGCTAATGCTCGGAACCGAGGTCTGTCTCACTCTGCTATAGCAGCCCAGATAAATGCTTCCGTCGACCTGTACAGTAGTCTCATGCAAGATGGCAGGTCATGGACGTTTATAATGATAACGGTGATACTCATCATCGTGCATTGAACTAGGAGCCGCTTCGAAGAGCCTTACCGGAGGTGATATCACCTTGGTCCCATTGATGGCACGCGCGGTGCTGGCAGCAGGAACCCTGCACGGTGAATACTACGGTGCAACAGATTCCAGTGGACAAATACTGGGATTCATATTGGCAATACCTCCCGGACGAGACCTCTTTAGCACGTAAGAGTCCAATTCTAATGTGCTACCACAGGATTCACAGAAAGTCTGCAGTGAGGTCGAGCGTGAGCTTGGCTTCAACGAATTTATGGATAAGCTATCCGACGCCGGAAAAGAATATTTCAAAACTACTGTATGTGCAGATCCCTGATATCAGCGAGAGTCGACTCATTGCTCAAAGTACACGAACAAATTTCACGAACTCGTGGAAGAAAGCCTTGGTCCAAAGGTATCAAAATCTGATTTCGAGAGGCTACTGAACGGGACATTCATGCATCCACAAGGGTAATCTGAAATCGTTCTGGATCTACATGGTTATGGTCCGCCCGGAGTACCAGAGGAAAGGCATCGCCAGAGCTCTCATGGGGCTCTTGCGAGAGAAGGTACAGTTATGTTCGTAGTCCCAAGTTTGTCTGAATTCTCATTTCAAATTTCCAATTAGGCGTCGAGTTTGGGCCACCCCGTTGCGTTGAGCACGACAAACCCTAATAATGTAAGTCAGGAGGGACTGATTTTCCACTCAGCCAATCACGAATATTGTCAGGTTGTCGTGTACCAGAAGATGGGATTTGTATTGAAGGGACAGGCAATAATGCCCTCACCTTGGGCGGATTGGCCGATATATGTCTTGTCTACGTCCTGACCAATCGGGGAATTACTTGCTTGTATGTAGCTCCGAGTTCGACCACCTGCGCGAGTGGGAGCTCCAAACGAATCATTCCGTGCAACAAAACCTTTTAGTCGGTTCTTCAAGACTCTTAAAAATAAAGTGAAACACGGTCGCACGGGTTATTCCACTAAGCCTTCGACGTCTATGCCAGCTTCTTGCATCTGTACGATGGCCCAGGGCCCAGCCCTCGATTGTGCCACAATCAATGAATCAATTAATTTGGTTTCTGCACAGTCTGGTTATAAATGTTCATACTCTCTCGTCTCCGGCGACCTAAGAATCATAGGTAAGTAGGAAACGCGGGTTTAGTGTGGCAGTGCCTGACACATGAAACAGCCAATCAAAATACTCAAAAGCACAGCCACCGGAGCGACGTGGTTCGCCGTTGATTCGGTGATGTCGACCACTAATAGTGGTTGACTCAAAGATGATATCGCGTTGGCTTGATACATCTCATATTACTCATAGGTGCTCCGCCGATTCAGACTTTAGCTGGTAGGCTGACTAGTACTCCAAGCTCAGTAGGCTGACTTCAGTTGACAAGGAGTGAGCCCCACTCCTGGAATGGTATGGCTTCATCTTATGATCTGTGGAAAGGAACTATGGTCGGTTGCATGCAGTGAATGATTTGACCTGATTCGGCCTTCGGGAAGCAGAATAATTCCTAGCGTTTCTATTAAATCTACGTGGGGGCGCTGGCACCCACTGGCACCTACAATGACTAACAACCTGGTTGCTGAGTGAGGCCAGGCACGAACTGCATGCATCCGAATTCTCTGGTCTCTGTGTAGGGATTTATTCATGCTCTTCTGAGAACAAGACAAGGAAAACAAGGCGACATCATTATTCCAAGAGCAGTGTACCTCTTCCGGGCTCGACACTAGCATGGCGGCCAACCATGGCGGCCCGGCAAGGACCGCGCGAGACAAACACCACACCACCGGCTTGTTCCAGAACAGTGCCTGGTCACATCTTTTATTGCTTCTGGTGCTACGACTTGGTGAATTCTCCAATCATACTGCATGTTTCCCAAGGTTGATGCTCCTTTGTTCCGTTGATGTTATTTCAGAGTCACATAGCGAGTTTCATCAATCTTGCATACAAGACTCGAATGACTTATGTAGGACATCTACATGGTTTCGCCTATTGTTCCAGCTTCTGAAGAACGACAGAACTGCGTCGTCAAGTTGTATAGGATAAATACGCCCCGTTCCTTGCTTTGGACCACATAATCTCTATCCCTCAATCAGCTGCAAGACGCCTTCAATTCCAAACCTTTGGTCATCATAATCACTTAGAACATGCAGCTCCTGATACTCCCCAATGAATACTTGGAGGTCGAGCGAGGCGTTGATTGGGACATCTCACACTACATCGCGACGTATCTAGGGAACCAGAAAGTCACCGTACAAGCTATTACAGCGGCACCGGCTGGAGAGTCGGCATGGATAGATGTCAGCTCATTCCCCATTTTTTTCGAAGGCTTCCTGAACAGTTTATCTCAGCTGTTCGACAAGGAAACGAGACTATGGCTCAAAGCTTGGGAGAAGGACAAGGGGAAGTATATCTCGCCCGTATATGGTTTCCTCCCGGACCCGCAGCCCAGTTTCCCTTGGCTAGAGTGCGTTACTTCTGGTGTCCGCCGGCCTCGAGCTTATTAGCATCACAGACACTTTTGCATAGTACACCCGTACTATGAAAATAGGTGTGCAACGAGGTACCTCATCAATAATCCCATGGCCGACCATATGCATATCGTAAGTATCGTGGAACTTCCTTCTATTTCATGACGCAGAACTCTGCCTGCCAGATTCGAGGCATTGCCAAAGGCCTATTGTTCTTACATGAGATGGATATAGTACACGGCGACATCCGAGGAGTGAGAGATTTCACTGATGGTCATCTTGTCTGCCCAACTGATGATTCGAAGACTACCGTGATGATTAACTCGGACGGCAACCCCCTCCTCTCCGAGGGTGGTGTATTCAACGTCAGTGCACTTCTCTATCTCTCTATAATTCAAAATAACAAATTCTGAGTCTCAGGTCGTATGCAATGCAGACCAGAAAATAAAGGATGAGCAGGGATTCTTGCTCTTAGCTTTTCGTGCGGCCAATTGGCACGCCCCTGAGCTGCACAGAAACTTGGACGTTCCGGCAGCACCTACCAAGCAGTCGGATGTCTACTCATTCGGTATGACCGTGCTCGAGGTAACTATTACCGTCTGCTCAGTATTGACAATATCGTTCGAGGACAGCACGTTAACCACCAACTACACAGCTTCTGACTCACGAGAGACCCTACCGTGCAATGCGGTCATACGGGGTAACTTACCATGTTCAGCATACACCAGGCTTCCGTCCAAGCAGACCTGAGGACGACGTCGTGCGCCTGAGGGGCCTCAATGATGCATTATGGGACTTCTTGCAAGAATGTTGGAGCGAAGACCCAGCAAGGCGGCCCAGTATGCATCGCGTGGTGGAGGTCATGGATTCCATCTAATCATCGCAACCTGCACTCTTTATCGCCATCGCATTGTTGTACGAATCCAATGATGTTAGTGTACCGGATACATGGTATTTCGAATAATTTGTAGGGTGTGCACTCGTAACCGATACGACCCTGTGTTTCTGCCTCAGACGCGCTGAATTCCGTAGAACGGTGTCTGCGTAGTCTTAAAAGAGAATACTATTAGCCTCCTCAATCACCATTCGAGCTCCTTCGGTGGCGTCCTGCGGTACATCGAAGGGTGCGAGACCCAGGATGCGGCATCCCTCGACGTTTCTTACATCTTCCGGTATCGCTCGGCCTTTGAACCTCGATTCGCCTTCGCCTCCGGGGAAGTCTCTAAAAGGATAACTGTCAATGGTTCCGTTGTTAATGCAAGTGATAGACGGAGGCTGACGATGGTGGAAGCCCTAGTAAAAATGCTTCTCGCTGTTTATCGAGGTACTGTGCACTATTTCATTGGTTATATCAGCAGGTTCGCTGGTGAGACAAGGGAAAGGGTGACGTACTTGTATAAGGTAAGTGGTACAGCAGGGATATACATGACGGATGAATCCCCTTTCCCGGCGTGGCGGGACTCGACAGCGTGCACGCCGTCGCAGTGCCCTACCAATCGGGATTACACACCAATGCATGCTAGTAAAGGATGGACATACAGTAGACTTGGTCGCCCGGCTCGACGGTCGGGACGGATACCATCGTGCGAGCCAGCTGCAGGTGTGGATGGGTGCCGACGTTCATTTCCTGCGTCTTCCCTAGCCTGCTCCCGGGAAACTCGGGGCTCTCGAGATCCGGGACCCAGTCGTCTGCCTCAAGCGAGGGCACGTTCTTCCCGTCCGATGAAGCGATAAATTGCGTAGGCTTGAAGAACGGTCGAAGGAGAATGTAGGCGGTAGAGAGTGACAACATGGGAAGCACGCGTAGAGTGCCCTCGCCGGGACCAGTGGTAGAAATGGACGTCCACCCCTGCCAGGCACGGAAAACCGTACATTGGTTACTGTGATTTCCTTTGAGTACGCTGCACAACCCACGAGATAAGTCTGCTACTTACGGGGCCTCATAGAGATCCTGCTTCGCGCTCAATCTGGGAGTAGCGTCGAACGGATCATGCAATCTCCACCTGTCGCCGCCTTCTAGTATCCGCCCGAAGCAGCTCCGGAAGCCCGGGTCTTCCCATCGCTCAATCGACCCGCCATCGATGTGCGGACCCAGACCCCGTGTTCCCCAGTCATCTTTGGGGTCCGGGTACCGGATGCGCAGGCGGTCGAAGTACGAGATGGGCGTTGTAAGGCTGACGGGAGAGGACGGGTTAGAGGTGTGCCAAAGAGATAGCAGGAACGTTTGGGTTTTGATTAGAGCCGGGTGGGTGCGGGCTTGGATCTGGGCCGGGGAGTTGTACAATTCGAAGAATTGTATGTTGTCCGGTGGGAACCCTGCGAGTATTAGTTCATAATTATATATGGGGAGAATAAGTCCAAATTGGGCCACCTTTCACCAGAGGTTTATTCGCGGAAGCGTAGTCGATAATGGACTGCTTCCAAGCAAGTGCTTCCTGGAGCATATCAAGTCGATGAGATTGCCATAGGACATGCAGAGGGGTGTCATACCGCCTTGGGAACGCCTCCCCGGACTACAGTCCCGGACAAGCAAAGGCAACAAATTGATTTCTGACCGAACGAGATTTTTTGGCGGGAAACCGACTTCAGATTTGGACTCAGGGAGGCTGGAAACGTCCAAAAATGAGGTCCCCTTATTTTTCCCACGACTTTTTGATATGGCCAAATTTTTGGGCCATTTCAACGACATTCTACACGGTCACCGGACTTCCCAGGTCACGCCCTGAGCATTTGGTGACCTGTAAACCCTTGCATGGAGCTGCAAAAGACTTCGGACCTCCTTCTGAGGCCGCCCACTGGCAAGGAAGTTCAAATTTATGGCACATGTTACCTTGATTGCCATATTTGGCCTGCACTTATGAGAGCTATTATGGCATATCGGCTGGTCCAATTATTAGATTTAAGCCGGAATCAGACTCAGCTGGTTGAAAGGAGTCGATTGGCATATTTTCCGCATTTTTCCCGATTTGTTTTGTATACGGCCAAAATTTTGGCCCATCCCGACCCATTATTGAAGGCTACAGGGGGTTTATGGGAAATCGGCTCGTGCCAATGTCTTCTTTAGAGTCTAAATCACTCGTTTCTGCAATAAAATTATGGTTCCCACGGCTGCTGGACCTCAGGAAATCCTGTCACCGAATTTGTTGTCTTTGGTTGTCCGGGACTGTATCACCGAGCCCGCCTTCTTCACTGCGGCAATCTGATTTGCACTAAGGCCTTTCTCCATCTCCCTGAACGAAACCTGTGGTATAGCCTACCGCCACAGACATTGCTGAGTCATATGAAGGTCCTAGGTCTGTCAACTCACGTCCTGCTGTTTCTGTGCAATCACTTCCACCTCTTCCTTCAGGTCCCGGAGCACTTGTCTCCAACTCTCTACAAGTTCGTCTTTCCAGAGTTGCTTCTTGAGCTCTGCAAACCTTGCTGGAAAGGGCTCCGCGGTGTCGGAGAGGGAAGCGAACACGTCGGCGATGGATCCCTCCTTCCGCTGGCTACCACCACCCATTGGCGCGGCGGTAGCCAACCACCTCGCAGCAATGGGAGCCATACCAGGTACAGACCTTGCTGCGAGCGTAGACAGCATTACTGTGGACGTCAGAATTCACTGAAAGTTGCTCAAGCCTTCCCAACGATATATAACTGCCGAAGCTGATTTGGCAGAGTTTGTGTAGACCTGCTGACCTGTTTGCCGATATCAAATACGGTCACAATGACGATGATAACCGAAGATTAATATGGTGGAAAGCATGGTTCTACGCAAGTCTTCGCATCGTAGTTACCAGCCGTTCAAGAGCAAAACGAACCTGGCTCATATTCCAGTCGACACCAAATAACCCCCCAGCATATGCTTTCTGGCTGACGTTCCTCGTGAATATTCTTGATCTCTTTCCCGGAGCTAAAATCATCGCCGTGGCCAATAGTATATAGGAAGTTAACGCGGCCAAGTAGCAGATTCTCGTTCCTTGTTCTACTTGAGATTCAGATGGATTATCAGTCCATCCGGAGCTCATGTGCTGGTACCCAGTTCCGCGGATCGTTAATTGCGACCATGAATGGGGTGAGACCATACGCTTACCGTCTCGCATATCTTCGTTTCCCTTCCCCACATGTTGGATGTTCTTGCGATCAAAACAAACGTGGAAAACATACCATTTTGGGTTATGTTACCCGCTGCGCCGAGCCGCCGGCAAGACGCGACATGCACAGCACCATGCAATTGATGAAGCTCGCAGCGGAATAGAGCTCGATTGACGGTGCTTGCTGCATGTTCGGTATTTGTACAGATACTAGACGGTGCGTAAGATCCGCCCTAATTTTTCAGCTCTCTCTGAGAACTACGCAGAACGGGTGGATTCTGGTATCCATATCTCGGAGGTTACAGCGTCAGTGATTGCACAAGCTTTTAAGTCGGAAGATTACCCTGCGAGGAGAATCTGCGAATACTCTACGGCTGTCGTCTCTGGAAGTCCAAGCATGGGGTTGTCAAGTCTGGCTCGCAAGCGATCTTGCATATTCTTACTCGTTCTACTGACCTGCGGCCTTATTCTGTCATACTTCACCTTCGAAACATTTCGCCCGTCATGGATGGTCATCACGCCGGATCCCATGTCCGGCAGTGCAACTTTGTCTGACCTCATTCACCCCCAAGAGGATGGACCAAATACAGCGCCGAATACGACAGAAATCCTCCTTGTGTCCGCCTTCTTCCCGCTCTCCAAGTCGAAGCACCCTATGAGCGACTACTCTTACTGGCTATCCCGCTTCTTGGGCCCTATCACGACCGACATCTACTTCTTCGCCCCGCCAGACATGGAACAGCTCGTGCGGGATGCTCGCGGCTCGCTGCCCATCACCATTAACACCTCATACACCTCACCGTTTGACATTCCCCCGCTGAAGGGCCTCGAGGATAAGTACGCAGAGATGCACCAAATCGACCGGGAGAAGAACAGGCACTCGCCCGAGTTGTACGCCATCTGGGCGGGCAAACCGTACTTCCTCGAGGAAGGCCTGAAGAACGCTCAGGGCTCTGGTAAGCGGTACGACTACGCGTTCTGGAATGACGCGGGCAGCTTCCGGAGCGACCACAAGTACGCCGACTGGCCTAGTGCGGAGCGGGTGGATGCCATCTGGCGCGAGGGCGCACGGCTGAACGGCGCACCCGAAGACGACCTCATATTCTTCCCCATCTGGGATACCCCGCATGCCAGCATGAAGCACTGGACCGAGCGCATGGGACCCGTCGACAACGAGTTCAGCGAAGGTCAGTTACCCTGCCGAGCATGTTGTTTTGTGAACTAATGCATGCGTCTCCTCAGGCTCGTTTTTCGGCGGCAGACCAAGGGCTATCAACTGGTGGCGCAAGCTCTACTACGCTTACCACGACAGCTACCTCTCCCAAGGCGTCTTCGTTGGCAAGGACCAGACGCTCATGAACGCACTCATGCTCCTCCACCCCTCGCGCTTCATCACCGTCTGGCTCGCCGACCCCGCCGCGCCCAACTACTCGCTCGTCTCGCGCCTGTCCATGTGGTGGGATAACGGTGAGGGCCCGCTGGGCCGCTGCGGCTCCACGTGGTTTTACTACCAGTGGTGGCTCGCAGCGTATGACGAGCGCGAGGCGATGCGCGACGTGTGGGGAGGGAAGAAGTGGTGGCCGTGGGGGAGCAAGACCGAGGAGGAGCGGTGCAGGGATACCCGCGTGCTGGGCATGGCCCCGCTGCTCAGACGAGTCTTCGGGGAGGGTTGGAATCCCCCGCCTACTAGTATAACATTAGAGTAACGGCTCGCTAGTTGTATCATTATTATACCAAAGCATGCTCTAATTTATGTGGAACACTCGACTTCGGGCTGTGTTTGCGGTCAAGTCATAATTCAGCGAACTCGTTATCAAAGTCGGCCTGCTCAACCAGCCCCTTCTTCACCTTCTTCGCCATCCTCTCCTCCCTTGCCAACTCCTTCCAATCATCTGCGTCCTCGCTGTCCGCTCGCGCGCGCTTCATCCCTTCCTGAGTCTGCTGTGACTTGAGCCATTTCCTCTTAGCAGCCTTTATCTCTCGGCGCTTCTCCTTGCCCTCTTTCTTCGCAAGCTGTTCGCTCCAAGCTACGGCCACTTTGGCTTTAGGCTTCTTGCTCTTTGCAGGGGCTTTGTCCTTGGATTTGGACTCCTCGGCTTCGCTTAGCCGTTTGGCTTCCCTGGCCGGATCCGAGAATGCATACGAGTCCCACTAATATCAATAGTGAGTCACGCTCCGGTCTAACGCAGACTGGGTAACGACTTGTGGAAGGTACTCACATCCACGTCCGCATCCACCCAGCCGGCCTTCTCCGCATCCTTCAGCTCTGGCATGCGAGGCAACCGCAACAATCCAAACGTTTTGGCGAGCCCCACGAGATCCAGGTCTTTCAGTCTGAAGATGTACGACGCTTCATGCTTCGAGTACGCTTTGACGAAGGAGACAAAGGCCTTTGTCGCCTACTGCAACGTCAGTCCGCGCCTGAGCAAGCCAAGCTATGCAAGAGACGATACTGCACCTTCTCGTGGAGCGCTCGATCCGTCAATACAGTCTTGCGTATCTGCTGTAGTATTGGCTGGACTGCCGGGTCCTCGGGGCGTTCGTCATGGGCTACAGACGACCCGTCTTCCGTGAGATAGGCGTGTTTCTTCATGGGAATCTTTCTGACCGCCATAAAATCTGAAGTGATATATTAGACTAAGGTCACAAAGTCACTCGGACGGCTTACCTACGTAACCCTCTTCGCGCCCAACAAGCAGTACCCATGCACGTCCCTTCCGCCCAGCGCGGGCCGTCCGCCCGCAGCGGTGGCTGAACGCCTTCGGGTCGACCGGCGGGTCGAACTGGATGACGACGTCGACGTCGGGGAGATCGAGTCCACGTGCGGCGACGTCTGTCGCGAGGAGGATTGAGGCAGATGGAGCGGCGGCGAAGGACGAGAGGGTCTTGGAGCGCGCGGATGGGGGAAGGTGGCCGTGCAAGGAGTAGAGAGTGACGCTCGACGGGAGGAGGGGCGAGAGCACGCGGTAAAAGTAGTCAACGCATGCACAGGTGGCGAAGTAGACTATACAGCGCGAAGTGGGGTTGCTCTTGAGCTCGTGGGAGATGATACGGGTGAGCTGCAATACTTTCTCCGAGGCCCGGCATGGCAGGTAGAGGTTTTGCAGGCTGCGGGCGGTCAGTCACGACAGCTTGCTGACGGTCTAGCTGTGGACTCACTTAGCTGGAATCCTCCTTTCTTCGATCACCTCACCCGATACCTTCTTCCCATTATTCCGTTTGGTCTGCACCTTCACTACGATACGAGCGGGGTTCCGGAGGCCCACTCGCACCAGTTCTGACAAGGCATCCGCATCGGTCATCGTAGCGCTGAACAATCCCGTTCTCCGCTGCTTAGGAAGGTGGGCGATGATCTTTGTCAATGTCGCCTGGAATCCGAGGTCCAGTAATCTGACATACGACTTGGTAAGGATAAGAGAGCGGGTAACAAAGGAGCGCACAGCGCACCTATCCGCCTCATCCAGAACCAGTACCTCGAGCTCCTTCGCGCTCACAACACCCTTTCCTTTCCCTAACAAAAATTCTTCTACGCGTCCCGGCGTGCCTATCACAATGTCCGATCCTGTCGAGAGGAACCGCTCGACATCCTGAGCGGGTGTTGATTTGTCGGAAGACACAAGAAGGAGTGCTGGAGGTAGTCGACGAGCAGGAGAGCTAGGATTATCTTCATTGGACTCGCTTTCAGACGGCTGTGAATCCAGGAAGAGCGAGAATACTGAATGTATCTGCGTCGCTAGCTCTCTAAGATCCTCGCAGTCAGCGCTAGCCGCATCGAACTGAAGGATCTGACCTTGTCGGACTGATGACCAGAGCTCCGATCTCATGTTTTTTCAACTTCTCCTGTCTTCGGGTGAGTCGTTCGAGGATTGGAATAACGAACGCAAGCGTTTTGCCGGACCCCGTCACTGCTTCCACGACGACGTCCTTATTCTGCATGAAAAGGGGAATGGTAGATGCTTGAACAGGGGTCATCTGGGTGTGCCCCATGGACTGTATGACTTCAAGACTATGAACGTTATATTCCGATGAATGCACTCTGTTATGAAATGGCTTACATCCATGATGTGAGCGACGTCGGCAACGACGACCAGGAGCCTGCGAAGGCGGCGCTATTCGACATCAGAGAATAATTGTACTTAATGAGCCGAGGACTGCAGAGCTTGACTATTTCAGCGGAGGGTAGGCAGCTTCAAGTGTAGGGAAGAAAAAGACAAATCCCCGATTTGGTATGTCAGAGTGGACTGCGTGTGCGTTCCGACTTCGAATCCAACTACCACCAGCGTCGACCGCACCGTCATACCAGATGATTGTATCTTTATTTCTCTGATACTGACTTGTTGACTTTCCTGCAGGAGACTGATGTTCAAGTCAACTTCTATATCAGTCTTCAAGCTTCACTTGACGCCTGACTGTCCGAGTCAAGGTCGTGCTACCAGGGATGCTCAACAAACATGCATTGGCCATATAGGAGAAAACGCTTTCCGAGTACCTCTGGCAGGCGTCTGATTTCTGCCCGGTGAAGAGCAGGTCTCTCGTCTGCAATCAGCCCCCTTACGGCGTACGGGCGACGGCCGCTCGGGGGGATTGAGGATATATTTCCCCATTGACACAACTGGAAATGGTGCCTCATTTTCAAGAGCACTAGAGACCGAGATATCTGTCCAATACTTCACTGCAATATCGCTTGACTACTCTCTCTATGGCGACTCATTCCGGAAGACTTGAGGGCAAGGTGGCGCTGATCACAGGCGCCGGCAGTGGAATTGGTCTGGCAGCAGTCCACAAATTCCTCGCAGAGGGAGCCAAAGTAGTCGGAGTTGATGTCAAGTTCACGCCCGCGGCCGAGGTCCTTCGGTCCAACCCCTCTGTCCTGCTCGTCACGGGCGACGTCTCGCAAGAAGACCAAGTCAGAGAGCATTGTTTCCTCGCAGTCGAGAAGTTTGGCAAGCTGGACATAGCATGCTTAAATGCGGGTATTATGCACGGAGTGCAGTCGTGGCTGGAGATGGACGTGAGCCTACTCGACAGGGTATACAACGTGAACGTGCGAGGACGTGAGTGACACTTTCACAGTTCGGAGGTCACCATCCGACGGTCATACTAATCCCATTTCATGAAGCCTGGCTTGGTATCAAACACTCCGTAGCTGCTATGCTCGCCTCCCCAAGCAAGGGGAAAGACTGCGCTATTGTCCTCACATCCTCCGTCGCCTCGCTCCACAGCGAGCCTGAGTTCTCCCCCTACAACGCCTCCAAGTGGGCCATCCGCGGGCTCGGAAACACCGCCGCGCAGGAATTCGGCAAGCACGGGATCCGCGTAAATACGATCCAGCCGGGCGTCACGAAGACACAGATGTACGCGGTCGGCGACCCCGCGCTGCGTGCGTTCGTGGAAGGCAAGAACGTCCTGAAGCGCGCGGCGGAGCCGGGGGAGATCGCGAACGTGATGGCTTTCCTGGCGAGCGACGAGGCGAGTTATGTGACGGGGTCCACGGTAGCTGTCCATGCTGGTCAGACGTGTACGTGAGGATAGTTTAGCAATTCAAAGTTACGTGTATCAGGATTCTACGATCTGGAGGGCACTCGCCGTGCGTTAATGAACCATTTACGCTCTTTCCCTGATCATTCCCTCGATGCCCTTGTCCGCAAACTTGACTGCCAATTCGGCGAACTTCGTATTACACGAGTGAGGTATCTAAGCTAACTGTCCATGCATTGGAATAAGACTAGGCAAGTGTCACATATACATCATGAACTTGATGATTTGCGACATATTCGGTCTTTCCCTAGGGTCCTCCCTCCAGCAGTCCTTCAAAAATTCCCACAGTTTGTCAGTAAGGCCTCTTTTGATTGTTTCCTCGTCCGTTGGTCTGCTCGGCAGTATCCCCTCTGTGACCAACTGAACTACACGGTTTTCAGATTTGACGTCATAAAAAGGGTCCTGATGTGTAAGTAACTGCCGAGAATGCGTCAGTAAATTATACTCGATTACAAGGAGCTGGGGACTCACCTCAAGGACCGTCCTGCCGTACATGAAAACATCTGACTTCTTACTTTGCCGCGGCTCTGCGTGCAGCACCTCAGGCGGGACCCAGCGAGTTGATTCCGTAGAGCGACTTAGAGGGACGCTTGTTGCGCCAACGTCCAGGAGAATCTAGACATACGCATATCGTCTGCTGAGATCACTTGAAATGATTGAACCTGATACACACTTTACTCAGGCCAAAGTCGGTGATCAAGGGGTTCCCGCGATCGTCTATCATGACGCTGGTCTAGTAATGTTCAGCGGAAAGATCTGTTCGAAGGGGTCGGATACACGTACCCCACGCATGTCGCCATGCATTACGTCCATCTCGTGTAAGGCACGCAAGCCTTTCGCAATGTCTCGAAGCTAGGGCACTCAGGTACGTCCAATGCGGAATCCAGATAGCCTGCACTCACTAACGATGTGTGGTCCTTTTCTGGGTATTGAGCCAGGTATTCGATGGCAGTTCCGTTAGCATAGTGTGGGGAAACTAAATACCTGCACTTTGTGTCAGCGGACCACGGGACGAACACGTTACATCGAACGATAGTCGTCGTACATCTTGATGCTTAGCAGATCATCGCTACCGTCGATATCGCCTTCATCCTCGCGATAGAAGCCGTATACTGGCACTGTATATTTTCCCTTGTCCTCCATCCAAACTTTTCCCCACACCTTCGCTTCTCTCTCGAAGCGCTGCGCGATGGGCATCAGGACAACGACACAAAAATGAACGCCTATGAGATCTACCTTCACAACGTCCTCTGTGGCAGTTATGTGACGCAATTTGCGGGCGATGATTGGCTCCTTGTCCAGGTACTTTCCGAAGAAATAATCCATATATTGAACGGCTTGCCCTGTTTTTATGCCACGTGCCTCGCCCCCGATAATCACTTCACCTTTCTTCAGCTCCCGGTCGGGTAGGAGGCTCCCGGTTACTTGCAGGAGTCCATGTAAATTCTGAGCGAGTAATGGGCGCCAGATATCACTTCCGATGAGGTTTTCCGACATATACTAGGCGATCAGGGCTGAGCGGAGGATAACCGAGTGTTTCATGAACAACCAAACCTTCCGCATCAGCTGAAAAATTTCGTTGATTCCTTCCGCACTTAACTTTGCGATTTCATGGGTCAGTTTACCTTGATTGCTAATGTCTGCAAGGTATGCAATCATCGCGTCGTTATCTCTGCTCTGATTCCTCTCGAACTCGGCGTGCCATTCATGCATTAGAATGTGGGACTTAATCTGGCCATTTCAGATCAGTGGGCTTCGCATGACGCAGAGGTATGCCTTCGCCTACCTGGAATTGGTCACAGCAAGTAGTGATCTCAACGTGGCACTGTCGTATGTTCCTGGCGATGTCACTCTGTTTGGAGAAGTGTTCGAACCACTTGAGATTGGTACATTTTGACAGTCTCGTCCAAATGATCCTGAGAACGCTGATATTTTACTGCGTAAGAACTTTCAAATTTGTCGTTGGTTTCGTGCGACATACCTTTCAACCGAAACAACAATGTCAGTGATATCCGACGGGTAATTACGTTCTCCTAGATCCTGTATAGCCAGAAGGAGTACGCCGCATCTCTGGGCTAGCTGAAGTGCAGCACGTCTGCGCGGCTCCGTCAGGAGGGCCATCCATCGCAATTTTTGGGGAGGCAACTGACCTATTCCTTTGAACATTCTGGCATAGCTTCACTACTTCTTGCAGAACAGTGGCTGCGGGCTTTAGGAGCGGACTTGCGAGTAAGTCCGTGGCTATTTCTGCAGCACTTCGGCCTTCGAGGACCGCGACTTCACCAGAGCTCATGATATTTTTGAGAGAAAGCTTACATTCATCCTCACACCTATATATTCTCAACAAACAGTCATCAGTGGAGGGACGATCGGTCGCGCGCGAGCAAAAGACAAAGCAGCTGTGCATAACGAGCGATCATCATCCTGGTGTACGGCAAGCGTTGCATAGCAGATGTGCCACCTGCCACATTTTTACGATAGAGTGGACCCACAAATCATGCAAGTAGACAAAGTCTATGTGCATTTCGGTGATATATGCTACCAGAACCTGATCGGAGCGTGGCTCTATGACGTTCCGTTTGCACTTTTATTCCAGCGCAGCGCACTGTTGATAATCGCGCAGCGCACTGTGAGTGGGTGACGTGACATGGTTTGTGACTGATGTATCCCCAGCCCATCTTCTGCTTCATCACGGCTTATGGGAGTGATTGTAAGATACAAAAACTCCTCAGAATATTTGTTTGAAGTACTGGGAAGCTTTCCGAGCCGGAAAACTGGGCCCCAGACTATTGCATTCGAATAAATATAACATATAAGTCACTCATGTCACATATGTGACTCTGTCACTGGATGGTGTCCGCTCTAAGTCCACTGAACATCTGCTGTGGCCTGTCGGCAAGCAGACGAGACTTCCTAACAATTTGATAGGTGTGTATACATGTATAACTAGACATAACATATTATACTTTATAACCTAGTATTGTATCCGGAGAATCCGGGAGCCATCATACTAGTATGCAAGTGCAATATGATAGTCTATATCTT